GTCGATTGCGTGGCATGCGGCTGTTATGTATCCTTTGTAGCAATACCTTTAGATTTGTCACACACTTGAAAGGAAGTAGTAGAAAGTGTAAGAGAAATATTCAGTTTCTGTTCGTAATATTATGCCCAATTATCTTTCTATTTACTGCCTAATCTTTCCCAACAATAGAGCACGGTATGAAGTGTAACCACAAAAATGTTGAGACTCAAGTAAAAGCGACCATTCGAGTGGCCTTGATCCCGTAATTACCATTTTCGGATGATCAGGTGCTCCCAAATGCCGGCAAGGCCTTCGCTCTACTTTTTTTTTTTAGCCGTAGATCAAATGGCCTTAGAACAATTCAAATGCGGGTTCGAAACCACATCGAGCTCCTCGTTTTGCTTGGATCTCGGCCTTTCTGAGGTTGCATTGCTTTGAAGTGGCTTTACATTGGTTGTATTGCCTTACACTGGTGAAGTCGTACGTTTATTATATATCATCACTGCTAGAATTATGTGGTTCTTATATGCTGAACGGCGACAAATGATGATTTGATCCCATTCGCCGAACAAGAACTTTTAACAAGAGTGAAAGTAATCGTTCTGAAGCTTAAATCTTTGCTAAAGCTGTACGTGACCAATTTTTTAAAGCACCCTTTCATAGTGCTCTTGAATACAAAATAAAATTATGTTTCACATCGGACAGCAATTCAACCATCACATCACTGGAAATACAAAAATCACATGAACGTTTAGAGAAAAACTCTTAGTATAGGAGTCAGACATCTAATTTAGAGTATTTTTTAAAGCGGAGAGTCTATTTCTGATTGAATAACAAATATCGCACTTTCATGTGACCTGCCTAAGAGCCAGTCCATCGCTGGCATTGCTGAAGTCGCGGCATCCGCATTGAGCCTCACCCCCACGCCGTACATCAGCCAAAAATACATGCCGCGTATGTCAATTAATCTTATTTTGCTTGCTGCACTGAAGGAAAGCGTTCCTTCTAGAATAAACACAACGATGGACTTGTTGAATCTTACGCCATCAAATAATTCTTAATAGTCTGTCTTGCGAGCAAGTATGTTGAACACAAATGTTTTTCTTCCAGCACAGCGTTATAGAAGAGCCTTTTTGGAAACCGACATACCGCGCTATCCAGAGATTTAAGCTTTCGAATGCTTACTAACAAAAATTCTTGTCCAGCAAATGGGCTCGAATATTTATTGTTGCCGTCTGACATCTAAGCACCGACTATGCAGTTTCTAGAAGGGCAGAGAAATGTGAGGAAAATTGCTCACCGATAACTAGGATAATGAGAGCCATCCATTGCTTTACTGAGAGTTTTTTGCCAAGGAAGACATACATAAACATCGCTGTGGTAAAGATCTTTATCTGATATGCTACCTGAAAGAGAAAAAGTAGCTATCATTACTGTGAATAATTGGAAACTTGTCACCATTTCTATTTGAGAACCATTTTAGAATTGCGTAATTCTAACTGAAAACTCATCTTTATCCAAAGAATTTTGCATTTCAATTCTATGACATCAACTCGTGTTCTAGGCGTTCTAATATTAGCCCTATAATACTCGTTTTTTTCGTAATTCACTACCGGAAAAGTGACTAGTAAATGGATGAATGTCAAGAATTGAGTATGTCAGAGATCCCATGTTTCCGTGCAGCCGAAATCATTTTATAAGTAACATAGAATAATTTCTTGACGCATCGAGAAGGATCTATGTATTGTAGAATTTACAGGAATTTTTTAAAACTGACAGACTGTCAAACCGAACCGAAGCCCTTGGAAAGAGTGAAATGCAGGCTCGACTTTCGTCTAGTGTTCACAGATTTGCATAAAACTCTACATTGTTGCGTATATAATTTTAACATCATACTACCGCTAAATAAGAGATTGAATATAGAATTTTGATTACATTTCTGCAATATCTATCAGCGTCACTGGTAAGTTGCCGATATGTTCTTACCAGGGCAAACAGTTGACTTGATTGCCAACAGATCGATTGTTTGTACCGCAGAAAGAGTGGTAAGAGAACAGGAGCCGCACTAATTCGATTGGTTAGCATGCGCCCCCGGAAAGGGTGGAATGCGGGTTCGACTCCCGTTTGAGGTCGAAAGCTTCACATGTCACTACTGATAAAAATATATAATGTCAAACAGTACTAAAGGAGCGCTCAAATAAAAAATTCTCGGTAATTACACATCTACGAAAAAAGCAATTTGCATATTGAATTATCTACAAACTCACACAAAATGTTGTTGCTTCCAAATGTGTGAGAGCGATATAGTAGAGATTATTCTGTAATGTGTAGATCACCGCTGGAAAACATACTTTGATGGTCTCGATTGGATTGTTGCATATGGCGTCCTTGAGTTCACCAAAGTGCCTTAATGTGTAGGAGTGTGCTAGAGTGTTTTTTTTTCTCACCCTTGCGAAGAGATTGTACGTAAAGACAGTATAATTTATGAGTTTTATTTGCTGATTGATGTAGATTTTTCGTTGAAGAGGAAGATTTCCTAGCAAGATTTTTTTCGTCAAAGTACTTGAAGTTTATTCACTTTTTGATAAATAACGTGGGAGATTGTTATATGTTGACACTTTATTGTTCCGTTTTCACAGTGCTTTTTTTTCACTGTGTAAATCCCAGTACTTCTAGCATTCAATTCGTTTAATCGCCTCCTTCTTGAAGGTCGTAGAATACTGATTGAGCGAGTCTCGTTCCAATCTCGAGAATAGTGTGGCTGTGGCATTTCAGAAGACGTTATTGTTGGCAACTGGAGGAAACAGATGTGGAACTTGTTCCACGTGCGCAGCGACGAGCATTAAAACCATTTGACCACGGCGCCCCCTAATTGCTACGTATTCGCAAAACCTGACTTTTCGACTAACCTTTTCTTCTTCAGAACATGGGAATTCAAGTTGGTTGAATTTTAATCAATCAAAAGCTATATAGCCTTGACAGAAACGCCACGAAATCCAGCTTATGAGCAACGAAGTATAGCACTCTATATTACTTAGTAGCTTTCGTAAATAGACACAATTTAACAACCTTTATGCCCTTATCAAGATAAATAGTGAGTTAGTGATTAGTGGCGAAGTTTTTAGAAAGTTTGTTTTCCGAATTATATCTTATTAGTTGCAATACTGATTTGCAAAGTCTTAAGTAATGTGATAACAAGCATTAGATTGAGCTGTCCCAATTTTTTTCAGTACAATTCGAATAGACGGCGAAAAATCTTCAAGCCAATCTCACACAATTTTTTAGGAGCGCTAGCAGTCATTGGAAAGCTTAATCTCTGGCTACAACACATGTAGCCTGTTTTTCGAAACACCCTTTTGTAACGCTGTGTCATCCAGAATAAAATTTCGTTCCACACTCGCCTTTTGCATTCACTTTTACGATGTGTTATAATTCGCTGGAAGCCGAGCAGCATATCAATGTGTAGAGCACCTTTCGTAGTGTCTTAGTCAATCATCTCGTCAGGAATTTCTTTCAAGGCGAAGGAAAACTCTTAGTTGAATAACAATATATCAATCGTCCCGCCTCATCCAGCCCCTCGCCGCGCCCTTGCCACGGCAGTTGCCTTGCCGAAGAGCCAGCAATTAACCTGCCGAACATGTGAAACTCGACATTATTTCTCTTGATAAGCAGTATTTTCAGAAAATGAGCAATCGGTAGATCGGAAAATATTACGCTATCAGATGATTATCAATAGTCTAGAGAAAGAGTTCTGCCCGACGATATTTGAAGCACAAATCAAAAGACTAAAGGAGATTGAGGATCAAAAGAACTTTTTCAAAAGCAAGCATATTTTTTAATACTTTGAAGCTTGGGATATAAAATGAGTTTTAGCACACTAAGGATGGAGTTTTGTCCAGCGAAATATAAGCGGGATAAAAAAAAAAAACACGTGATCGTATGAAACATTTTTATTTTAGATATTACAGCGCTATAAAAAGGTGTTTTGGAAAACTGACCACGTAGGGGTCTAGCCAGAAATTCAAGCTTCGAATGACTACTAACAATTTTATGAAAACTTGTTGCCCAGCGAGTGAGATCGGCTTGAAAGTTATCGCCGTCTAGCCGAATTGTACCCATTTTTGAATAAGTGACCCGTCGGGATAACAGCCCAACCACTCGTTGGTGGTCCAAAAGCAAGGAGATCTCTTTTCACTACTCCGTAAGCCTTTCAGGACTATAGGTAAAGACACTTGTTGCTTTTGAATTACGCAAGATTACGAGCTTCGATGGATTCTTCTTTTCATTCCATGTTGAACAGGAGCACGAGATTTAATTCGCTTACCTGAGTATGGAATTAGATGAGTAGACGATAACCGCGGTGCACGTGCACAGCTTTACAAGTTCCATTATGAAAACATTAACGGTGGTGAAGAAAATCTCAGATTTGCCACGGTATCTTGTGTAGCGAGTGAGCAGAGGCATGCTAAACTTTCGTAATTCTGCTGTATATGAAGATATAAACAAGATTTTGAAATTTCATAATGCCAAAGCTCCACGGTACACTAAAATGTGGAAGGGGCTCAGACATTTCGAGTCATTATCGAAATTTTTTTAAAGTGTTTTCAGAACTTATTCGTGTAACTCTTGTTCCTTAAATCAATGCTTAAAGTCACCATGCGAGAGGATTTTTGTGGATTAATTATCAATGAAAGTTGAAATCACGTAAAGCATAACTGAAGTGGTGTAGCTGGTGAAAATTATATTGCTCGGTTCTTGAAGAGTTTAGAGAACGTATTAATCTGCAAACTAAAAAATAAACCTTAAGTAAAGGTTAAAGCTATTGACCACGTTGCAGTATATGGACCATAAATTCCGTGATAATTTTGGAGTCGTTCAAAAACCTCACTGAACAAGGTCAACAGTCAGCGAGGTGATTTCATTGTTCCTTTTTTGTCTCAAAATTGCTAGTGTTTTTACTGCATTTTTCGCAGTGTTATTATGTTTCATATATACTGTGAATGAGTGGTGAGCAAAAATGCGACCTCAGATGAGAGTCAAACCCGCGTTTCATCCAAACCAGGGACGCGTGCTACCACTAGACCACCGAGGTACGTTCGCACCACCACTCATTCTTCAATATCCCTGGATAACTATCAGCCACCAACCTTCAACAGTTTTGATCAGATAGCAATTTCGCTTCATAAATCCAGTTGAGTTGATAGCCATTGTGATAAGTATACTCGAAATTTCTAGTGTTTTACTGCCTATTTCACTGTGTTATTATTGTTTCAAATACACCTAAGAGAATTGAGTGGTGAGCAAAAACATGACGCTTTTTTTGTCTATTTGAGTGATGCGTGACAACTAACGCTGCTCGTTAGAGCTACTCATTGGGCAAAGGTAAGGCACGAAACATAGAAAAGTTGTTATTCGACAGATTAAGCACTATGTTTTTCACTGCGTTCAGCCTTTAATCACCTGGTAGACTAAAGCGACCTGTCTGCCTGCCCATACCATGAAAAAGTCTATTGTTAGTCGGATATGACGTAATTTTTGATCCGCTTAGTCTAAATCAACTTTGACAAATCTTTTTGAACATTGTTGCTTGAGGATTTCGTCTTCGTTAGGAATGTCGTGAAATGTCGATCAAATGAATATTACGATGTATACATAATCACAATTATTCACAACAAAACAAGGTCTCAAACAGCTCCCAAACAGATAACGCTTTGGACTCACCTCGCTTGCTGTAGAGTAAGCAGTATCAAGCCGGCATATTTGAATGTAGAGTTGGAAGGCATCCGAGAGGATATAGCCACTCCGCTACTTCTACGATTTCTGAAAAAATTGCGTCACTTCTTAGAACAATTATTAGATTATCAACCACCAATACAGTCACACCACAAAAGAATATAAAATTGAGGAAGGCTGGGTAAAGTTCGCTGAAAAAAGCACAAAAAAGGAGATGGGAAAATGAAAAAAGATATCAGATTTGAACGAAAGAAGGAGTGCCTCGCATTTGTACTTATAGTTAAGTAATCATCTGAAGCACTGTAAGTAATCTGAATTTGTAGTTGGACTATCGATAAGTCTTTGGGTAACGTCGACCGTGAGCACGGGAACATCAATATAGATGCTTTGTCCAAGATCTTTGCCATTCGAAGATTTTATCGCAATCCGGACCCAGCGACGCATGCTGTATAAAGCGTGGTTATCGAAAAACTAATGTGAATACTTCTCGAAATGCCACCACTGATGCTCCAGATCAAAACTCCTTTCCTATAGTGGTGGCACAAACTTGAATTTCAACTTTTTACTTACTGCATATTTTTATTCTGAAAGAAGGAAAAAGTATGTTCATGTACACCACTTTTATCAAACACACTGTGCGAGCGACCACAAATCTTGCATTCAATTTGCTTCCTCCCACTCATCCTTCGCAAAGGTGTCAGAACATTTCTCGTGTTCTTCCGGCTGGTGCTCAAGGATTCCGTCTTCTTTATGATATTGGAGTAGGTAATCAAACCTTGGCGCTTGATAGCTTGCACTTTTATCCACTGTGCTATCCTCTTCTTCTTCATCTCTATCTACCCTAATCTTTCGATCTTTAGCTGGTATAGATGGCCCATATACACTGTTAGATTAAGATAATGTCTTACTCAAAACTTTGATTCTGCCATCATTTCTACATCTCCGCATCCTTTCAAGTTCTGATTGATTTGGTCGATTGTACACATTCATTCACTCATGCTACGTATCTTTGTAGCCGTACTAATTCAAATCGGAAGAGTGGAGCACTGATCGAATGAAACAACGTCAGATGTTCTTATAACAGACTTGTACTACTTTGTCAGCACGATAATATATTAACAGAAATAATTTGCATAACACTTTACATTTTTTGCATTATTTGTTATCTTGGTGTAAACGGGGACTTCGCGGTCAAGTGGTTGTGGTGCTCGACGAGGCGAGCGTGGAGTCCAGCTCCATCCCTAACACTCACGGGCAATCAACAAGAACGCCCTATGGAACGCCTTAGCCAGGCTATCCTCGAGATTGCAAGGAGACTCGCTCAACCAGTATTCTACACCGTTCAAGAAGAAGGCGGAAAGCGAATTGGATGTTAGAAGTACTAAGATTCGCACAGTATTGTGATGACGGGTCGTGTAAACAAATATAAATAAATAGATAGAGTGCAAGCAATTTCTTGAAAGACCATTAGCAGTATTTCACATTTGTAATCGCCTCTTAGTTCCATTGGTGAAACTATAGTGTAGTCTTTTTCAACCAATTTTCCGTTTTCTTATTCGACATGCTTGGCGATAACAACAGCTTTGAGCAAAGTAACATTACCGCTTTGTTAAGAGCTGTGGTGTTTTGAAGAAGAGATGTTTCTTCATCTTCGAATTCATTCACAACTACAATAGAGTCTATATATTTTAGAATTCCTAAGGCCTTTACTTCTATGAAGCCCTCTTCGAGCGACCTCAGTGTACTTTCTAAGTTTTTTTGGAGACATATATGTCTTTAAGGTTGGCTAATGTTTGCATAAGAATGAGTATCGGCGTTGTTCAGTCCTTCTGCTTCAGTTGAATGGGAATCTCCTAGACTGTTTGTCGTACAATGAGGCCCCATTTGCAGCGTCGAAAAATAAGGTTGCTAGATAATTCGTAATCAAAAGAATCCTCGTCGGCTTATTACGATTTTGCTCAATATCGGACTGTCCTAGCACTGATAGCAGTTACCAAGAAAAGATTATTGGAAAAGTAGGAGCTCATATAGTGAAACTGCTAGCACACACTGGAAATTGGCTTTATCATAGGTTCGTGAAAAGATGTCCGTTTTGAAGCAACTGGGGGATCATCTCGTCCAGTTCAAGTAGAGGACTCGACAGTCTACGAGGAATTTCGGTTAAAGTTATTAAGTATTAACTTAATGTATTGGCATTAAAAGAGAATAACCTACCAGCTTACATTGATAGTCATCAAAATTGAAGCTTTGAGATGATCCTTTCTTTATTTGTACCCGTTGTAGTGAATTAGACAAAATCTGATATTTACTTTGCGTGAATATTCTTGTGTAATAATTCAGGTTAGCTAATCATACTAAAGTTCAGTTAAACTTAGTAAGTGTTTCTCGTGTTTTTACTTCAACAATTTAGTGTCATAACAACACCAATGACTTTTTCATTGCTCCCCATTCATCTGTTTGGCTAAATATCGCGTAGATTCGCAGAGAAAACATTGACGTTTTTTTATCAATTCGGTGAGTAGACATCGATACGTGCAATCTTGCACTCTCTATGAACTGACACAGGGTTGTTATGTTATATTGCTTGTCTCACGAAGGTTGATGATGCTTCAAATAATTTTGATTTTCTTTTGTCTTTTCTGGAAATCTATAGATTTCTTGTGATATTTTACAATTATCGTAGCAAAACTAAGTAACGAGTGTCCAACAATACACTTTGATTTAGCAGTATCCTGAAGCGATTTCTGGAATTGAGATCATCCGTTTCCTAAACTTTGCGCTTCGCAGATGATTCGACTTCACCTACCACACCAACTGACCGATCAAAATAGTGGGTATTGGCGAAGTACTTTTTTATGCATTCAAAAATCTATGTTTACTACTTTGTGATAAGGTTATCTGAGCACTTGCATAGCTGGATTTCCATATCTTTCTCACGGCTGTGAAGCGGAACCCTTCAAAGTTATTGTGATTTTTTTTTCTACGAGGCCCTTCATCCCTTTCCATTGTACGGATTTCAGTAATTCTTGCATTGGATTGTTTGCTCACACTTATACATCGAAAGTTTTTGAACATCCCGCATATTGCTTCGACTACTGCATGATAAATATTGTAGAACACTGGTCAAGTTGCACCTTCTTGAAATCTTGAGGTTAGTCGAGCTGAGACATTTCCACGTGATCGTAACAGAATGTTGGAAGAGGACGTCGAGCGAGTAATTTTCCGACTGATAGCTTACATCACTAGCCCACGTAATCTACTCTCGTAACTTGAGGAAGTTTCAGCGAGCATTGCCAGTTTTCCCGAATATGGAGAGGTGGGTTCAGTGATAGTTATACCTTCCAGCCTGAATCACGCAGACGCCAGCTGGGCTTCGTAGAAGCTCCTCGTGTCTCTCAAGCTTCAGGATCACGTAATACATGCCAAACTTGTCTAGGACAAGCTGACCTGCACTAATTCACTTGCGAATTTTTTAGCACGGCAATCATAGGATTCTAAGGAGGCCGATTCGTGACCTTCAATATCTTCAAAAAATTTGAACCGCTCTAAATCATCTATCGGTCTTATGATCACAGAAATATAGCTTTGATGTCGTGATACTGGAATTTTTTATAATATTAAACCTCTTACCGATCACCACTAATACATGCATCTATGAGAACAAGATGTAAGCTTGACTTTTTCACCTCATTGAAATGGTGATTTTCTAATACTCAAAAACTGCTGCCTCATTTTTTATTATCCAGTCTTATTTCTGAACAGCCAAAAGATTGACCCAGTGGGCTTTCGTGAAATGCACTGTTCACACATGTACCAGCATATGTTCTCATATATGGCCATAAACGCTAGTTCAAATGAGGCGATCTAATGAGTATCGCAACTAACCTCAAGCTATTGTGGTTCGACATGGCCCACAACAACCTGGAGCGCAACAAGCAATGTATCCTTCGGGATCGCCGAATTCGTAGCAAAGCTGTCTGCGAAATAGCTGCACTGACCGATAACAAATTTTTGTAAGGCCAAGTTTGCATACAGTCATCTCTACTAAACTAGTTAGTTTAGTGCACGATGCACATTTCAGTGGTTGCTCAGCGTCAAACTCTTCATCCTCTATCCATTGATTTCAGGCATACTCAAGGGACCATTAATTCTAAGTCTTTTGAATTTTAAAAGAAATAGTACAAAAATTTATATGTAGCTGGTGCGACAGAGCAAGGTCCCTTCACCACAGGTTCTCTGAACTCCTAAAATACTCTAGTAATTGAAAAAATTATCTCGAATAATTTGAAAATTGAGAAATTCTCGTGAGCAATTGGAAAACTAGCTTAATCGCGAAAAGCTAGAATGATTATGCGGATT